ATAATGAGTTTCAGTTCTCTCACTTGTGCATTACTAGATACTAAGGGTCGGTTATTTTAACGANAGCTGGTTGTGAATTGTTACGCAAAGATAACCCGCCTCTTTCAAGTTTGAATTACACATGTACTTCTTTCGTTTGAGCAAGTAAAAAGACTATACATTCAGCTGCTTTCTGGTTTTATTTACAAACTATTAACTAATTATTGTATGTTTTATTTTTGGAAGGTTCAAAGATGATTCCATTCTGGAGTTGGCTTCAAATGGGCAAAGATCTTATTCTTATAAGCTTGCGATATGTTGTCGGAGCATGGAGAATTGAACCAGTGAAGCTTAAATCTCAATAGGTTTTTCAAAATTAACCAATTTCTGCCAAAGACAAGTTACCTGTTTTCGAATATTTTTAGCAGATGAATTATTTTGTCTTGAATAGAGATATTGTTTTAGAAAAATTGAGGGAAAACCTTCTTTGCCTTATTATGAAGAATTCCTTATTGAAAATACCGACTAGTCAGCACCCGTTCGTGGTATCTCCGCCATCTTATAAACCAACATAACTCTTTTCTTGTTGCCCACACGAGTTCACAGTATCAGTGGTTTATTTATAAGATCAGACAGGCGAGGTTTTTGAACTCATTTATAAACCTAATATAAGCGAATTATCTGTCTGTGAGACAATAAACCGGCATTGTAGTAATCCGATTTATAAATTTAAAGAGATTATTTATCTCAGATAGAGGTTCGTTTGCCAGAACATGCAGATTATATTTACGTTCTTCTGCTGGATCTTCATAGTACAGGCGATTCCAGCAATTATTTCAGCCGCCAATGACTTTTATTATAATAACCTATAATGAGTTTCAGTTCTCTCACTTGTGCATTACTAGATACTAAGGGTCGGTTATTTTAACGAAGTCTAACTTAGGACGCGGTTTAAGAAATCTTTCGACCTTCAGATCTCTTCCTTAGTGGGTTAATTTAAGAACATAACTGCTTTTCTTGTCTACGCTATATGCTTTAATGAAACTATTCACGACAAATGGTGTTTATACAAGAGCGTTGGGTAAATTGAAAAGGACTTAGAACGCGGTTTTGTTAAACACTGGTTAAACTCCATTTAAGTAACCCGCCTAAGTGATAGTTTCCGTTTTTTCCCCTGTGTACAGCATGAAACATTGTTGACCACAATTATGACAGTCGCAGTATCAACGTACGTTAATTTAGAACCCCTTTAAGTCCCAAAATCAACATACAAATCCTCCAGACTGATCTTCTTCATACAGCAATTAGTCAAGAGAATTTGATAAAAGATCAAAGAATTTCTCCTTTGGCGATCATTTTATCAATTCTAATAACTTTTAACTTTTGTCTTTTGATTTTGTATTAGTTGTGTTGGAGAAAATTGATGTTGGTCACTCTTGCGCACACCTCGTGTAGTGGGACCCTCTAGCGATAAAAATGACATGGTGCTTGGAATTTCTGGAATTGTATCTTTAAGGGTTCTCAATTATTCAATAAGCACCTTTAGAATTTAGGTATCCTTTAGGGTACTGAGAAGACGAGTGACGCGAGGTATTAGCGCTAGTAAAGGGAGGATTCTCACTTAGTGTCAGTTAATTTGTTGTTTTAAATTCACTTTACCTTTCAGTTTAAGGGGTGGTTTCGAGGTATTACGACAAGCATGCCAGTCAAAGTCAGTTAAGGCACTTTCTAAATTCTTTATTTTGGAAATTAAAAATTCTTGGCTGCCTACACGTGTCATATGCCTATAGTTTTCACTCTCCCAAAGTTGCCTTTCTACCTTGTCAATTTTCACAATTACTGGAGTAATAACTAAAAATGCAAAGAAAATTATTTGAATATTTCATGGTAATGAAATATTAAGTATTAAATGGCATATTTTAATCTTCTTTACATGATCTTCATTAAGTTATTTTTAATCGCTTCTGGTTCACTATTAAAATGAATCAATTGTTTGAAAAGATAAATCTCTTAGAATAAAAAAAATTGCTTTTTTGAGAACTTGTTTTATCATTATGATTATTACTTCATTAACCTACTTTTGATTATGATTATCATTATGATTGTTATTGTTATCATTATTATTATTATTATTATTATTATTAATATTTTCTTTCCTTTTGTCTGGAGTCTGCATTTTGGCGGGAAACAATGGAACGTTGGTATGAGACGGGGGCGTGAACTTGGTGGTTTGTTTGTCCTAATGAGCTTGGCCATCGTGACGCCACGAAGAGAGAAGCGTGCAGGCTTTTGTACATTATGCTTTTGTTTTGCCCCCCCCCCCCCCCCCNTCAAAGGTCCTCTTAGTTTTGGTATTGAAATCCTTCTATTCTACTTAGTCATTGTCGTCGTTTCTCTCTCGGGGGAGCGTGAGAAGAAGAGGGTAGGGGAGGGGAGAGTGGAGCTCTTATTTGAATGAGAGCACTATTTTGAGCTATGGCAGTGGAAATAGTCCTTCTTCGCGACTTATCACTAAATATTTTTATTATGATGATGATTATTATTACCATTTGTTTATTATTATTATTATTTGTTAATTGTTTTTCTGCCTCTGGGCTTTTGACCTCAATTCACCGCTGGTATGTATATAGATATTGAAGAGCAGTCTGCACCATGTGTTAAACGAAAGAAAAACACTCAAAAAATATATGCGTAATATTCTTCTCCTCCTTAAACCTGTTAAAGGGGCTATATATGTCACCAGGATATTATTCCTTTTTCAGGTTAATCCTTTGCTAAAGTCATTACTTAGTGCATTTACCAAAACAAAAAATGACTTTGTCGCTGCAATAACTAAGGATCGGACTGGCATGGTAATGGTTGGTCGTTTTAAGTCAGTGATCCCTCTTTGGAAAATTTTCCGCGCTTCATATTTGGGTCTACAGGGCACTGAACAGCAGCTTTTTGAGCTAGGAGACGATTGCTGTTCAAACTCATTTCAAGGGGGCTTGTCTTTTTAAAAAGCTAAAAACGTGTCTTGATCAACTGAATACAAAAATTATAAATAATGGTCCAGTTTTGATATTTCATACTGTATTTAGTTACTAAAACTGTTTCCAATCGTCTTCTGCTTATGGCAAGGATGCTTTTTGTGTATTGGTAAAGGTTCTTATTAATGACATTAGCACAGAACTGACCTAAAAGCAGCTGTATATCCTCGCGCCCCTCAAAGTTAGGGAACCGTTAATCTAAGATAAACTATTTAGACGCTAATGACGCTAATCGGGCGGAAAAGATAGTTTAGTTTAGATAAATAAATACAAGATAAATAAATAAAACCGATCTGAAGTCACTCACTAAAGGTATGTTCCTCGAGATCAAAAAACCCGCCAATGTGTCATTAGGCTGGTAGGGCTGTGGCCTCACAGTACTGGTAAACTGTGGTCTCACAGTTGCGGAAAAAGAGAAAGCTTCAATAGGCGGGCTGGCTCATTCTAGATCATCGGTTGTTTCTACATATTTTTGCATTATTGTGGCCTAACTGTTTGTAGACAAAGGTGAAAACACATGTTATTCAACAATTAACAAGCTAAACCAACACGAGGACGTATGCAAATTTCCTAAGGTAAATCTGAGGGATATTAATTCTCTAATGTGACGGACAAAAGAAACTTAATGCTTTACACTGTAACTCATCGTGGCTAAAAACGATGGCCGTAGTAAACGGTGTGTATATCTTTAGAGATTTAGTCGATCTTTCAAAACTCCAGGAAATTTGCCTCGCGAAAAATAGTGCGAAAATGTTCACCCACCGGCCGGAATGTCCAGCCGACAATCTACTAAGTGAATGCTGTTTCAGAATATTAATCTCCAAGGTAAACACTTGTTACACACCTCACAATACTTATTACAAATGACCCACAATCTTAGATAACATAAATTAGTGCATTGTAGTCAGTATTGGTCGGGTTTCATTGAGTGCTTTACAGCTTTGTGAAATTTAAGATTAATCAGGCGCCGCTAACTTCTTTCTTTGATGTTTTTTTTCTTCTTTTCTTTTTCTTTCTTCGAGGCAGCAAAAGCAATTTCCTAAGTTAAATTGCGTTAACCGTTAAGAATTTGTCCTTTGTCCTCATTAATCAGACAGAGGACATAACACCGGAAGCAATCAAATAGCATTACACTGCCGCGGAGTGTCCACTTCCGAAAAATCCTAGACATTTTTTATTTTCCTGAACAATAACTTTAAAAAGTCCCGCAATTTTCTGGTGGTTTGGAACTACTGCATCAATTAAAAGGGAAATGAGAATGAGCGCAAAAATTATCATCGTTATTCAAATGGGGCACTTTGAGCTCCAAAAAAGCGCTGTCGTGATACGCACCGGGGGGTTGGGTGTCTACCCACAAAAAAGCACGAACAAAATATCTATACTTGTGGGAGGGGGTGGAGCGATGACAATGAAAATTGTGCCCTTGTTGCAAAATAAATAAGAAGACTCAATAATTGAAAAAGCAAATGTTAGTTTTTATAATTTTTGGTCTTCCAAAGTATTTGTTTTTAAAAACTGTCAATCGTCAATTTAGCTTTCCGTGCCGAGAGAAAATCGTCTTACCCCTAACCCCTTTGACAAAATTACAATATCTCCGTTGAAAGCTTGTCACGTTGTCAGACTTTCCAGACATCATGTCGCCAGCACATATGACGTCACTACAGCAAAAGCCTCGCTCACGAACAAGGAACACAATTTTAGCGAGAGAACAATTGTTTACGGTCTTTACTAACGTTTGTGTTTTGTTTTACGCTCTTTCGGAGCTCGTTGATCGAAGTGTCGTTAACGGGTGAGGAAGCAAGTTAAGCCAGGAGTTGTCGCCACATTGGCGAGGTTGTTTATTCTTCTACAGGCGACGCCATTCTGGCGCCAGTGGAACATTTGATAGTTTGGAGTGAGAGGTTTGGCGGAGCTTTGCTCGTCGTGTTTGCATTAAAACTGTAGCAACTATCACGTTTAAGCCTTAATTTTCTACTGTTTTTTCGTCATTTGTAGAGAAACAGCGTGTTGCGGAGCCAAACAGGCGAGAAATTAAGTTTATTTGAGAGAAGAAAGTAAATCTGACCAAGATGACGACTATGGCTTCGCTCTTCTCGTTCACCCCTCCTGCCGTGAAAAGACTGCTTGGTTGGAAACAGGGCGACGAAGAAGAGAAATGGGCGGAAAAAGCTATCGAGTCTTTAGTAAAGAAGCTAAAGAAGAAGAAAGGCGCCCTTGAGGAGCTGGAAAATGCACTGTCAAAGCCGGGTCAGCCGTCAAAATGTGTGACAATCACTCGTAGTTTAGACGGGCGCCTTCAGGTCTCGCACAGGAAAGGTTTGCCGCATGTAATTTACTGTCGAGTATGGCGATGGCCCGATCTTCAAAGCCACCACGAATTAAAACCGTTGGATTGTTGCGAGTATGCTTTTGGGCTGAAACAAAAAGAAGTCTGCATTAATCCGTATCACTACAGACGCGTCGAAAGTCCCGGTAGGTTTAAACTTGGTATTTGTGAGCTGAAGAGGCTTTTTGTGATGAATTATAAAGAAAATACTATAAAAGAACGAACCACTTAAGTGCTTTAAGATTTAGTGCACCATTTTATTCTTTATTCCTTTCTTCTTTAATTTTCATTAGACTTTTTTGTGTAATAGAAAATGTCGGAGATCACGAGAACCATGCGACATACATGTATGCTACCTGACTTTGCAACATTAGAGAAAGACTAAAAGCCAATGAATATTTCCTGTTCTCTCTTCGTAGTTTTACCGCCAGTACTCGTACCAAGACAAAGCGAGTATCCAAGACCGGCACCGCCGTTGCCTTCTCCATTTAGAAGTGTCGATGATCCACCTATGCCTTACAATGCTTCATATCCATTTTCAAATCGACCTACTCAGCTTGAACACAGTCCTGCAAGCAGCTTTGACATGCCAGGTGGGTATAGAATATCTTCATAGTTTTTTTTCTAAATATATCCCCATGGTTCCCATTTTTAAATGCAAAAAATCATGGCTTAACAAAAATCCCCATATTCCATGCTGTATTAGTAATAGTGTATTATTTTTAATTACTGAAATTAAATGGCACCGCTAAATATATTAATAATATTGTTGTTGTCATGAAAAACTTGAATGGTCACATAACCATTTTATCCTGGGGAACAAAGTTTTTGCTGCTTTGGCTTGACCAAAATCTTTGAGGTTGCAATTGGGCAAAGGCAAATTATCTGTAACCTCCACTTATTTGAAGTCTCAGGAGTGAGATCGTCGATACGAAACTATAACCACAGTGAAAAGAGGCTTCTTAATTATCATTACCTTACACATCAAGCAGAAGGGATACGGATGACCCGTTTTGTAAAAATCTGTTAGAAATAAAACCAGATTTTTGAAGGTCAAGATAGCTTGATATAGCACTGAAAATGCAGATATATTGGTCTTGGTCAGGAGTTTTCAAAGTAACTGTCATCCAAATACAAGTCACTGCTTGACTTTCAGCAATATAGTCGTTGTTTGTGAAGGAATAAATATAGAACTGGCAAATCATAAAGAGAAGAGTTTACTATGAATCTGATGGAAAATCGTAGTGAACATGCAGTTTTCTATCATTGTTTGGGTCATGTTTGGATAATATTATTAACTACCTGTTTTTGAGGGAAAACCACAAGTTTGTTATTGCTCCACTTAATTTTAGGATCATTGATCGATATAACTAATCATTATCCAGCTATTAAATTAGAGCAGCCAGTCCTTTTTCATGCTCTGTCTCAGTCCCCTTGAATAATGTACACTGTTGTTCTACTAAAACATGTTTTAAAATTCAAGACTTTTTTGTTTTAATGAGAGAGAAAGAAGTTTTGGACTAGAACATATATGTTTTATTTAATAATTGTTTGTAATAATGTACTGTTAATCACATGTACAAGTATATGTAAGCCATGATCACTAACAACCATAGTCATCAAAGTCCAACCAAAACATTTAGGTGCAAGCTGACCCTAAGTTTTAATCTTGGTTCATTTGAGGTTTACATAGCCTAAATTTCAGCTGTATCCTCATTTCCTTGTGTCGCAAACTGCAAAGAGAGACATCTGAATCGAGAAGAAGCTAATGCTAAATTTAGGAGCTGTACAACCAAAAGATCCGTCTAGCCATGCAGTTGACAGTTTGAACATTTAATACAAGTTTTGAGGGAAACAATACAAATGACTCTCTAGGCTGTAGAGCTAATCCTGGAGAAATTTATTTCTTTGTTAATGATTGAAAATCATGTCAAGGTATACCATTTTGCATGAATTGGGCAAAGCAGCGTGCAAAGAAAGTCATGTCCGATAGCCTGGGGCTAGTGGATCTTGCTATAAGGCTAGTGATTTTTGTTCTCAACTTGCCCGACAGGCAAGTGCTGTTTCTTAGGAAAATTCAAATTAATCTTGCTAATCAAAAATGGTTTTGGGGCTAGTTGAAATGATTTGTGGGCTAGTACATGCTAGCTACACCTTGCCTGAATGGGAGGCTGTAAAACTGACTTTCTTTGCACCCTGCAAAGGGTAGTCGATGTCAGTGGACTGGATTAGCAGCTTGTTGATTGAGATGTCTCGTGGGAGTTTTGGCTTTAGGAGAAGGCTTAAGTTCAGGCTAAGGGTTACAGAGAAAGAAAAATTTATCAAAAAAGATAGCAATTATTGCAGAATACTATTACTTTCCTGCAAACATTTTTTTAATGAATGGTCTAATTCAGCTGTAAAAGCCAAAGGTTTAGCATAAAAGAGAACAGAAGATCTTCATGAGATTTAGCATGCACATATTTTAAGTTCTAAGTTTAACAGCAGGAAGATTGAAAGTTTGATGTACTTTAACTTTTAAAATTGTTCAATAAAAGTTCAGTGCAGCATTAGCCAGTTTTGAAGCATAATAAGCAGGAAAAAAAACTCTTGTAAACTCTTTTTTTTTTAATGTCAAACCGGTATCCAGTAGTAAATATATCAAGGATTATAATATGAGTACTTTTTACTTTTTTAACGTTAACCAGTTTCCAATAGTAAATATATCTAGGATTATAATAACAGTACTTGCTAGTGTTGTTGAGGGAAACTCTGTGATGCAATTAATAAGGTATCATCCAGGGGGGAGCAATAATACACTTAGTTACTGGAATGCTTGCATGGCAAAGTGTGATACATAGCCAGTCATGTAAGCCATCTTGGCATTGCATTTACGTGACTCACTTGCTCATATGAATGGTGCTCTGTAATAAGGTCCTTTTTTTGTTCAGACACACCCACTGGCTATATGTCTGAAGATGGTGGCTCACCCCGGCCAGTTGACCCAAATTCTATGGATGTTGATACTGTGAATTCACCGCCATCTGTGTCGCATCAACAAGGTGAGTGTGAATCAATGTTTAGTTCAGTCTTGAACAATTTTTTTAATGATTTAGAAAGGAGGCAACTGACCTTCTTAGAAGGATTGAAGTAGAATGTAATCATAATAATTCAATTGGTCATCTACCTTGACTCTAGGAAAATAATTATTATATTCTACACTGTAAGCAGGGTTCTCGATTGGATTTGAAGTGATTGTCTGCTCAACCTTGACTAGAAGGCTGTGACAAACAGAAGGGCCATAAATTAGGGAGGGGAAAGCAGCAAATAGAATGCAAAGTAAGGGGCTACAAATTGCAAGTAGGCAGCGATCAATCACCAGGTGCCGGCTTCTATTGAGAACCCAGCTGTGGAAGCCTTGTGAGCATGGCCATTGTGTGTTAGTTATTTTAGGTGTCTTTTCTTGTTTAGGATGTAAGAATTTGAGGAACTGCTTTGCTGTTGTAGGCTGTGTAGTATCCTCAATAACTGTATGTTGAGGTCACCAGAGCTGTTGTTAGTTGGACTCATCTAGATAATGCTATGTTTATTTTTTTGCAGATTTTTCTCATGCAACTGCAATCAACTACCAGGAACCCTCCTCATGGTGTTCTATATCCTACTATGAATTGAATAACAGAGTTGGTGAACAGTTCCATGCCCACTGCACTAGTGTCGTTGTTGATGGATTTACTGACCCCAACACTGCAAACTCAGAAAGATTCTGCTTGGGACTGTTATCAAATGTCAATCGTAATTCTACCATTGAAAGCACAAGACGACACATTGGGAAAGGTGTGCATCTGTATTATGTTGGAGGGGAGGTTTATGCTGAATGCCTCAGCGACTCAGCCATATTTGTGCAGAGTAGGAATTGTAACCACAGTCATGGTTTTCATCCAACAACAGTTTGCAAGATTCCATCAGGCTGCACTTTGAAAATTTTCAACAACCAAGAATTTGCTCAGCTGCTTTCTCAGTCAGTCAATTATGGATATGAGGCTGTTTATGAGTTAACAAAGATGTGTTCAATCCGCTTGAGTTTTGTCAAAGGCTGGGGAGCCGAATACCATCGACAAGATGTAACAAGTACTCCATGCTGGATTGAAATTCACCTTCATGGCCCTTTACATTGGTTAGATAAAGTCCTTAGTCAAATGGGTCCACCAAGAAACCCAATATCTTCTGTTTCTTAAATTGGACTATAAAGGCTTTGATGTTTCTTAATATTTTGTGTTCTGTTCGGTACTCTTAACTCGAACTGCTTGACTCAGGAGACTTTTCAGTTTTTTAGCTAAGCTCGATAAAAGTTTTACATAGAAGCTGCTTAGAAATTCTGTGATCAAGTTTTGCTTGATTTGAAGCCTTTTTTATCAAAACTGTGTTAAAGTTACTAACTGAAAAGGTTGCAATCAGGTATTTTTTTTAAAGATGTGCAAAAGTTGTGAGCTACTTGAAAAAGTGACGATCAAGTTGTGTTACAGTTTGTTGGTAAAATTATGCATGGTTAGCTCGTATGTTGCTATTTTCGCATTATTATTATCCCACATTTAGGCAAAGATCATTGTTTAATATTCTTCTGTTAATGAACCTGTACATTTGTTAACGTTTCATTTTCCATTTACATGTAGCATCTGTCTTGTATAACCAGCTGTGCTTCAGTGTAATGTAAAATTCACTAACAATAATGGTGTTATCAGGGTTGTCATTAAGAGCGGGGGGCCAGCGATTTTCCCCGGCTACTAAGAGAGTGGCCCCCGGCTACTTTTATTGGAAAATAGAACCAAAAGAAATCCCTAGCCGTTTGATTTCCCTCCGACTTGTTGTATTTACCAAGCAACTTGAAATCTTAGGGACAACCCTGTGTTATTATATCTCATAACTTTTATTCATTGTTTTAAACTAGGTAGTTATCATTTTGTTACAAATCTCAGAACCCTTACCTCCTAAAAATGCCAAAAGTCAAAATCTTTAATTTTTTAAATTTTTGTAAAATATGATTGAAAATCTAAAAAATTAAACCTCTTCTGTTCATAACTGTGCACCTTCTCTAGAGGGACCCGCTGTCCAAACCCATATCAAGGTTTTCCACTCACAGTACTATAAAATTAATGGAAACCAAATGAGAACAACAGTTACTGCCTTTTTGGGTGATAATTTAACAATTTCACCATAAATAATATTGACATCTCTAGGAGGCAACCACTTGACGGTGTGTGGCAGGTTGCATATACCTTAAATTCAGAGGTAACTGCTAAAGTCTAGTGTTTTAAAAATAATATAATAGAAACTATAGGCTGAGGTCGATTATGATAATGACAACTTGAGGGTGGTACAAGACCTCTCTACCATGTGGTATTTGTGCTATTCTTGCTAAGTTTTAAGGACGTACTTGGCCTATTTCTTCTTCTTTTAAAGTACAAAATCTTGTGCCATTTTCTCCAGCTCTTCCAAAACAGCTGAGCTACTGTGCCTTCTGCTGTCCCTGACACCCAGGACTGTCGGCACTCTCTTATTTTTATTTTGAGTCGCATTAGATTGACAGGAGGGGAGAGCCGCGACGAACTGCCCCAATCTCTCCTCCTTTTTTTCATGAAATTGCATAGTAGTACTTTTTCAATCGCTACTTACAAGAGTTTGGTCTGTATCATACACTGTAGTTAAACATTACCGTGTGAAAGCACTCTCCATGCTTACGACATTTCATTTAAATGGTCACCGCACTATTTTATCCACAGATAAAAACTTTGAGCTGTAGGTACTGGTTACAATAATTAAGACGGAATCCATCAGAAATTGAGTAATTTTAATTTTCAGTGGACAAAAACCTTGTACCAATATAATTTAACACATATTGCGTTCTTTTTTTACATTTTTCAATGCCTAAGTATGTAATTAGTCATTTGTAATAACACCAAAGAAAATTTGTCAAGGGAGCCTGAGAAAATAAATGTCAAATTTCACAAAACGACATCTTACACATGAAATTTTCAGAATTTTACCTGTGTTTTCACAATTCTTGTGAAATTTGACATTTATTTTCTCGGGCTCCCATGAGAAATTTTCTTTGGTGTTATGATAGATGACTAATTACATCTTTAGCCCTTGAAAAATGTAAAAAATAATTTAATATTCTTTGACTTATCTGGTACAAGGGTTTTGTCCACTGACAATTTAAATCACTCAATTTTGTGGTGGATTCCGTCTTAAAATTGTTAAACAATCCACTCTTTAGACTAATGAAAAGCTGTAATTCTATTTGTTTACTGTCAGTGAAATGAATCTTGAAACCAATCTGATTGTTTTGGTCAGCAACGAAGATTGGGATAAAAGGATCACAGCCTCTGGGCAGCGATCATGAAATCATAATAAAGTAATTATGAGGAAAACAAAGTCGTTTAGTTGTAGGTTAAAATTAATATTTGAATCAGTAACATCTCTGCTAAATGGACATCCAGGGACGTCTCCAACTGATGTTGTCCAGAAACTGACGTGTTCCTATCATCCTTCCTGCTTTGCAACCATGCGACATGGCATACGGTATTCAAAGCACTAACAAAATGGCTTTTAATTCAGAGTACTAAAGTGATGACGTCAGGGAGGGTTGGGAAGGTAGCATGTTGTTCGTCATCCAAAGGCCAAGTGCGCATGAGTTTTTCCGCTGAACGATAATAGCTTGGGCGCATCAAAATCGAAAAAATCGCGAAAACCAAAGTGTGACGTCATAAAAGGGAAATTTCTGAAACTATGGGATTTGTCAGGCCATTCTGAAAGAACAATGTCCAAGAGGCCTACTTACCAAAAATGAGCATTTCGGGGCAAATTGTCTCAGAGATGTTAGCCGGTTATACTCAGAAAACTCCATACAAACCCTTGTAATTTTTTTTGGGTCGACCCCCAAAAAAATTGGAAGGATTTGTATGGAGTTTTCTAAGCATAACTGGGCTACGATCTCAGAGACAATTTGCCCCCAAATGCTCATTTTTGGTTAGTAGGCCTCTTGGACATTGTTCTTTCAGAATATTCTGACAAATCCCATAATTTCAGAAATTTCCCTTTTATGACGTCACACTTTGGTTTTCGCGATTTTTTCGATTTTGATGCGCCCAAGTTATTATCGTTCAGCGGAAAAACTCATGCGCACTTGGCCTTTGGATGACGTACAATATGCTACCTTCCCACCCCTCCCTCTTGTAGTTGATTTGCCATGACGGACGCCATGACAAAGGGATTTTCCGGCAAAGTGCCCCTTTTTTCCGATTCTTCTTAGTGAATTTATCACCAGCAAAGCACAAAGAAATCATCTAGTGGGTAATTCTTTCGATCAGAGCGTTGAGTACACAAAACAGTGTACCTGAACAAAATGGCGAACATGGCGTCTTTGTTTTCATTCACTCATCCAGCTGTTAAAAGGCTTCTTGGTTGGAAACAAGGCGATGAGGAAGAGAAATGGGCAGAAATTGCCATTGGATATTTATCCAAGAAACTGAAAAAGAAAAAGGGTGCCCTTGAGGAGCTGGAGAAGGCATTATCCAGCCCTGGTCAGCAGTCAAAATGCGTCACCATCCCTCGGAGTTTAGACGGGCGTATTCAAATTTTACATAGGAAAGGTTTGCCGCATGTAATTTACTGTCGAGTATGGCGATGGCCTGATCTTCAAAGCCACCACGAGTTAAAACCGTTGGATTGTTGCGAGTATGCTTTTGGGCTGAAACAAAAGGAAGTCTGCATAAATCCGTATCACTACAGACGAGTCGAAAGTCCCGGTGAGTGTTCAGATTGATAGCTTTGATCTGAAAACTCTAATTCGTCTGAGAAAATCTACGGACACCAAGCTAAGCGACTCAAATGGAATCCCCATTTTTCGAATTTCCAGTACCATGAGAAAAGCAAATTGGTTCGAATTATCGAGGAGATGTGAAAAATCAGGGGTAAAATTACAATGTTTGACTGGAGAAGAGAAGTTAGGTTGGGATCGAATTATTGGGACTTTTGAAAAACAGAGGGCTCAAGAAATCGATGTCAATAGGGCTATTTATACGAGGAAAAATAAGACGCATCTTTCATTAGACATGTCCTAATTAAGACACAAACTATCTCGTATAAATGGCACATTGAGACGGAACTTAGCTAAGACGCATATCTTACCAAAGAACAGGTGTTAGGGGCTGTTCTTAGATGAGATGCATCCTAGCTAAATTTCAGACAAGATGTGTCGTTTATACAGGATAGTTTGCCTCTTATTTAGGATGTGTCTTTTGTGAGATGGGTGTCATTTTTGCTCGTATAAACAATCAATCAATCAATTAATTTATTAACGTCAATATGTGGGATGGGGTTTGCCCTGATCATCTGAGCCAGAGGCTCGTTTATAAAACAGCCCTAATGTTGCTATAACACAGACAGTTTTTGACGTCCATTCTTGGAAAATGGCACACGCAAGAGAAAAACAAATTTCATCATCACATCATTGCCATGGTCTCTTCTCTCGTCCACTATTGCTCTCGACCAATCAGCACACAAGGAATCACTCTCAAGATTGTACTAAAAATTAATTGGAGAATTTTTAGAGCTATTTTGAGTGTGGCTCTCTGTTACAGTGCGACTACTGTAACTGGGGCCACTTACATGTAGACCAACTTGACCAATCAGATTGCAGGAAAATTATAATACGTTCCGAGAAAGTTGGCTGTAGGGTAATCAGCAGCTCATTAAAAAACAATGAGTTACTCCAAGCACAAAATTTAAATATTAATGGCAAATGTTTTTCTAGAAAGCAAAATGCTTCACCAGACAATGTTTTTCTGTTCAGTACTTTACACATAACACCCAGGATACACTTCTTTGTTTTATCTATTTCTTTGCTACCATTGCCTCCCTTTGCAATAACATAAAAAATATAACTAATGTCTACAACTTTTGCCTCAGTCATTCACTCTAACAGACCTCTCAGGAAAGGAATGCCTTTTTCAGCGGGTTCAAAAGGTCACATCTGCAGGTTGTAATTTGGTGATTTGGATCCATATTGTTTATTTTTATCATGATTGAGAACTAACTTTCCCAGAATGTATTGTTGTTTTTCTGTAATCTGATTTGTCAACTTTGTCTAGATGGTCCTGTGGTTATAGTAGTCACACTGCAATTACATGCCACAGTTAAAGACTTTGTACCGTTAACTCCCTCCAAGACAGACTGTCATCTTCGTGACCAGCACTAATAAATGTGTCCGTCTTAGAGAAATGTCAGTCTTATAGAGTTCAGTCAACTTAATGGAATATCGAAAGGCAGGGACCAACTCTGGGTGTCTGTCTTAGTGAGGTGTCCATGTCCTTCTAGTAGAGGTGTCTATTAAAAGAAAGTTGACTGTATCATGTATTGTAACCATCTTATAGAGAGTCAACTTAAAGGAATGTAGAAAGGCAGGGACCAATTTTGGGTGTCTGTCTTAGCAGAGGTGTGCGTTAAAAGAGAGTTGACCGTATTGAGGACCATGTAGGTTACTGGAGGGGAAAGGAACAAAATAGGGAGGAGAGAGACCTCCCCCCTCTTACTGGGATAATGCCACTCAGTCCTGAATTTTTCGTGTATATTGAAGTGAACAGAGAACAGCATTCTACAAGTATTCTGCTGGATGGAATGGAAAAACCTTCCCAATTTAACATTTTTTGGCATATTCTTGTCTTTTTAAGTTTTACCACCAGTCCTGGTTCCAAGACCAAACAGTGCATACCCCAAGCTTCCTCCTCCATTACCATTCAGAAGTGCTGAAGAACCACCAATGCCATACAATGCTTGTTTTCCATTTAAAACATCTCATCAACCTCAACCAAATCAGAGCCCAGCCATGTATGTTCCAGGTAAAGTATATTCCTTGCAACTTTACCTAGATTTCATCATAAGTAGCCTGAGAAAATAGCCGACATAATTTTCGGGATGCCACCACTGTTTTCCTTGCGAGATTACATCTGAGAAACGAGTGGAGAAATTCCATTGGATGAAGCAAATTTCCAACCAATCAGAAGCACTATCAAGATCTGGGTAGTGACGTGTCATAGAGTATGGAAGTTTGCACTCGTTTCTCAGATGTCATTTCGTGGGAAACCACTGGCTGCGTCACAAAATGTTGGCTTTTTACTCAGGCTACATCATAAGCTTTTTATGTTTTTAACTCCAACCATAGATAGGCAGGTCTATTCAATAATTTTTGTGAGCATACACTTTAGGGAGTGGTTTTGCACTCCTTTTAGCATTGGGGTATCTGTAACTTGAAAATGATTAGGCACTGACAAAATGAATAATGTAAGTACTACTATACCATTTTAAATTTCTGCTGAAGAGGTTTTTATTTGACTGGTCATACCATAGGATTTTGTCCACAGACTCAGAACTACAGAGTAAATACGTAGTTTCATGTGGAAATGCCGCTGAAGAGGTTTCATTTGAATGGTCACACCATAGGATTTGGAGCCAAACTTAAAAGTTACAGCTACGCATACTAAGTTCATAATACCATGTGGAAGTACTGCTGAAGAGGTTTTGTTTGAGTGGTCACACCATAGGATTTGAAGCACAATTCATTGTACCATGTGAAGGTACTACTGAAGAGGTTCCATTTGAATGGTCACACCATAGGATTAGAAGCACAGACTTAAAAGTTACAGTTACATACTAAGTTCATAGTACCATGTGAAAGTACTGCTGAAGAGGTTCCATTTGAATGGTCACACCATAGGATTTGAAGCACAGACTTAAAAGTTTCAGCTACATACTAAGTGCATAATACCATGTGAAAGTACTGCTGAAGAGGTTCCATTTGAATGGTCACACCATAGGATTTGAAGCACAGACTTAAAAGTTTCAGCTACATACTAAGTGCATAATACCATGTGAAAGTACTGCTGAAGAGGTTCCATTTGAATGGTCACACCATAGGATTTGAAGCACAGACTTAAAAGTTTCAGCTACATACTAAGCGCATAATACCATGTGAAAGTACTGCTGAAGAGGTTCCATTTGAATGGTCACACCATAGGATTTGGAGCACAGACTCAAATTTTACAACTCCATTACATGGCTCCTTCATTCATTCTGGGAGTGATTCTTTTACCTGTTAAGACTTAACAGGTAGAAGGAAGATGCAGTTAAAACATACAAGACTTTAAAAAACCCAAAGAAATGGTCACAGATTGAAGTAATTAGCCTGCAAGCAGAGTCACTTGTGTGAGTTCAGGGATAATTGTTTTGCATGTGAGAAGAATGGGCTTAGTAAACTCACTTTTCCTCCAAAATAGTGCAGCAAGTTTGTTAACTTCGTTTTTTTTTTGTTTTTTTTTGTAGAATCACCCAAAAGTTACATCTCTGAAGATGGTGGTTCTCCTTGTCCTGTGGACCCAAACACCATGGATGTGGATTCAATGAGTGCTCCACCAACAATGGTCAACAACCAGCCAGGATGTAGGTTATTTTATTAATTGGAAATTAATGTTCGTGTTACTGTGACACAGACAAAACCATGAATACCAGAAAAAGGCCAATCAGACATGAGCAATCTAAACCGCAAGTAGCAATGGTAACTAATTAGTTTGTGGTGGTTTTGAGGTTTGCTCTTGTGTCCTGAACTTTATTGAGCTATTTTGAAAAAAAAAATAGCTCTTGTGTCACTGTTCTGAGCATATGTATATTTGTGGCTTTTTGTGTTTGTATATATGTAAATGTGCCCATGTTTTTTATTGGTCACTACACCAGTCAATGTTTGTGGCATATACATTGTGTTATGTCACTTAAGCTCATACTTCATGATTTTTCTTTCCTCTTAGATTTATCCCATGTTACACCAGTGAACTACCAGGAACCCTCCTCGTGGTGTTCTATATCCTATTATGAATTGAATAACAGAGTTGGTGAGCAGTTCCATGCCAACTGTACTAGCATCGTTGTTGATGGATTTACCGACCCCAACACTGCAAACTCAGAAAGATTCTGCTTGGGTCTACTGACTAACATCAACCGAAATTCAACCATTGAAAGCACAAGACGACACATTGGGAAAGGTGTGCATCTGTATTATGTTGGAGGGGAGGTTTATGCTGAATGCCTTAGCGACTCGGCCATATTTGTGCAGAGTAGGAATTGTAACCATAGTCATGGTTTTCACCCAACAACAGTTTGCAAGATTCCATCTGGATGTACACTGAAAATTTTCAACAACCAAGAATTTGCTCAGCTGCTTTCTCAGTCAGTCAACTATGATTTTAAGACTGTGTTTGAGCTGGTCAAGATGTGCTCCATTCGTTTAAGCTTCGTCAAAGGCTGGGGTGCAGAGTATCACCGTCAGGACGTCACTAGTACCCCGTGTTGGATTGAAATCCATCTGCGTGGTCCTCTGCAGTGGCTTGATAAGGTGCTATATCAGATGAGCACACCAGAAAATAAACCAACTTCTCATTCTTAACAATAACACTCAGGACAAGAAGTGTTTGTTTCATTAATCAAAGACTAAAATTATTAATATTTGTAAAATAATGAATAATAATATGGTTTGAGCCTAGTAGACAGGTTATGAGTAATTTGAATAGGATTGTGGTTACTGAGAGTAAATGAATTTTCATTTACCTGTCTCAAGGTCAATGTTATATTCAAGTGAGTGCTGTATTTATCAATGACATTTCATTGCTTAAACGATTATATCCAACCCACGTAGTAAAATTAAATAATAATTGTTTTAAATGATAGGTTTGCAGCAGATGTAAAACAAAAACATGCAAATTAAAAATCTTATCTGCTCTAGCTGACAGACAAGGTCAGACTAAAATAATTACCAACAGTATATTGAATAAAATATGTGGAATGCCTGCAACAAGTAATATTGTATTTTATCTGATTAGTTTTATTGAAAAGGAATACTTTAAGTATTTACAGTAATTGTAACTTGACAAATAGAGACACTGTTAAATTTCACATTGTATGGTTTTAGCACCTTTAATAGAGGAGACTGGTTGGGAAAACCGGCAAACATCGAAGTTGAAAACAACAGTGCTGTAGTTTATTTTGGAAGCTCTCTGACTGCGCACAATCCTTTGTTTTTTGTTTACAAATTGTGACTGAACAAAATTAATGGTCAATAAGTTCAAAATGATAGGAATGCTATTGAAAGTTGTGCACAGTCAGGTCCAAAAAAGCTAACAAAAACAGTCAACAGGTTTCATAACCATTCCACTTTGATAACTATGCTTTAAATTAAATTTTTGATAAAAACTAAAAGGTAATAAATTTAAAAAGGCTCCTATCCATAGACAAATTAAATAAAAAGCTAAGAATTTGTGGAGTCTTAATAGTATTTAATACTAAAGATTGTAGAGTACATTGAACAGAAAACTAACATGTCAGTGTGGAGGTTTACAAATTACCTGTTCTCAGGTTCAATCAGCATTCAACCTAGTTTGATTCAAAATTTCCTTTCATTTCCATGCCCTAAAGTTATTATTATTATAGGAGCCAAAGGCAATTCTGGTTTAATCTGAGAATAGATTTCACCTACTATAACCTGCTGCTTATCAGCCCCCCCACTTCCCCTCTGTTTTAGGCCCATCCGCCTGTAGACAAAAAAATACACCTCATTATTAACTCTCTCCCCCCTGCCCCTGCAATATAAACCCCTCTTCAAAGTAATGTATTGAAATGAACTTTCATTGATATATTACAATGGCAAAACAAATTTTGATCACAACTTGAATAGCTTGTTTTGAAGCTGGTTTTATTCTAGTTATAACCCCCCTCAAATGTAAGCCACTTCTGTTTAGAAATCTTCCTAAAATCCTGTGCGAAGATGTATAAGCCCAGCGCTTGATATAAGTGGCAGATGCATTACTGTCAAACTCAGAAAACCGTGAACACCTGAAATTTTCAGGAATGTTGATTGTGTACTGACCAATCACAATAAAGTTCAGGATATGCAAGCGAACCTCAAAACCACAAATGGCTTGTGGTTTAGTTATCTCTCGCCTTATTGGCTTATTTCTCGCAACAATAACATTCCATAAATATTTCTGGCGTTCACGGTTTAGTGAGTTTCACAGTAACAGTATGCAATATAAGGGGTAAGACATTAAAAATCTCATCTTAACAATCATAACTTAATAAAATTATACCATAATTTGTTTAATAACAAAAACTTTAACTTCCATCACTAAAATAATCTTTCTATATCTATGCTCAACACAATGTTTCATTTGACATTCAGACACCTTGAAATAAGTCCAAAAAAGAAACCCACTTTTTTCAAGTTTTGTTGGCTTCTCTTTACAGTAAACTTTTGCCTTACGGACACCCCACTATAATGCCAAAATGGACACCCTGACAAAATATACAGACAGCAGCTAAATCCCAGGTAAAAATAAATTACAGATGTTTGACTGAAATAAACTCCCACTAGTGCAGACTCTCACTAATAAGGACACTAACTTGAGGCCCCTACAGTGCCTGCCATTAAGGGAGTTGACTGCATCAGGATCAGCTATTTGAATGACAGTACTGTGTTGAGTGTTTGATATATCACATCACCGGACCATAAAATTTGCTTTGTCAATTGCATCTTTCATAGTCTTTATAAATGGATTAATACATGTGAAAACTGTTGTCAGTACAACTTTTGTTCCATAATTATTTAAACAACAAGTGACAAACTCAGTGTAGAAAATATTAAGTTACTTCACTACTGGATAATACTTATTAAGAAAAATTCTTATGAATTCCTAATTTTAAGTAGTCTGCTACACAGCCGTTTTTAGTGTCGTCACGCAACGCTGAGCGTTGCGTGACGACACTAAAAACGGCTGTGTAGCAGACTAAATTTTAGGCTAATAAAATAATGAAAAAAGGACAATGGTTCTTCTACTACACTGCTTTGTTCAGTCTGTTTACCCTGAACCCTGGGGAGGGGGGGTACTCCCTTAGTAGCCAGTCAGGGTATGTTTTTCGGGATTTTTGTCTTAAACAGGGTATCGAATTTATCATTTTTCGTCTTAATCAGGGTATCGATGTATCAATTTTTGTCTTAAACTGGATATCTTTTCTTGGACGATAAACAGCAAAATTTTTACAAGCTCTAATGTTAATTAAATGTCTTAAACAGGGTATCAAAAATCGGAATTCTGTCTTAAACAGGGTAGGAAAATCCACGACATTTGTCTTAAACAGGGTCAGGGTATGAGGGGCCGCGCCGCACCCTCCACCCAGGGATATATCGAGTACCCCCCCCCCGGGGCCCTGAACTCTGCTCCCCACCCCGTGTCCTACAGTAATAAGCCCTTTGACTCACCTGCTTAGGGAGCATTCATTTTTTAGAAGGGGGGGTGGGCCGGAGGAATTCAGGGGAGGGTCATTAACTTTTTGCCTGCCCAAAAAGGGAGGGTCAGTATAAATTTGACACAACAAAGAGGGGGGGTCACTTAATTTTTTTTTAATATTATACAAGTTTATACAAACTGATCTTTGAACCCTTGACGTTACAAAGCTAATTTGAGACTCAAATGAACTTTGTGCCACTGAAATGTATAAAAGCCCCAGTCGCACCAACTGAATTGATTATTAGATGACAACAACAA